CGCTTCATTGTCCTTTTTTTTAATCGAGTTGTCATAGTGTTCTTGTTAATTGTCATATCGTTGTGATTATGGTTTGAATAAGAGGACATTATGGAGTCCAGGTTCATCTTTGTGTTCTAGTATTAATTCAAGCTTGATGAAGATGATGATGACTTTTCTTTATTGCTAAACTCATGAAGACTATGTTGAATTTTCTTCACTTTGATGTTGTTCGTATATATGTTCCCGTTGTATTGTTGAGATCTTGGTTGAATAAGGGCCTGTTTGGTTCCTTTCTCGTGTGTGTGTTGTGTGTGTGTGACATGTAATTGTAGCTGCTAGTTCAGCCGTCCAACTGGACCTAACAGCTACAGTAACAATCACGCCAAAATGGAAGAAGATGGAGGGAAATTGTGCAGAGGCTGCCAGCTGGGTTTTTTCACTGCCGTATCAGTCTTTTATTTGTACAACCAAACAGGGTAATAAACAGGGAAAAGACGTGAAAACTATTGTAGCCTGATAGCTACAGCAACTTCCAAGCAAAAACAGTCTCAACCAAACAGGCCCTAAGAAGAGACTGATAAATGTTAGAGAACCAGCATCATCTTCAATAGCTGAGTGATTTCTAGCCAGATTAGGATTCTTTGAAGAGCATTTAATATTGAATCGACTAATTGAGTTCAGGTATTCATGCAAGCATCAACAAGATTTGTACGTGGTTTGGAAAACCAGCGTAACCAACAACATTCACGCATATATGCACGTAGAAGACAAAAGAGGTGACCGTTGGGGTTATTTCCTGGTGTCAGCCCTCTAATTCTAAGTCATTATACATTGTATATACTCAGAAGATTACATCTAAGTAAAGGAAATTCTTGGTAATTTCTTAGATTGTATCCAAGATATTTGTTGTGATCATTTAGGTAAAAGAATGATAAGTTGTCAAATTCGCCAATATGGATATTAACCTTTCGCAGGCATGACAGTTACAGAATGGTTGTGATTCTGTAGATTAGTATAATTAATAGTCACTATTATCTTGTTTACCTTGTCGTTTCTCTTTACAACAGGTAGGTCTTTTTGAGTCACGAACTACCTGGTCGTTCTCAGCTTTTGGGTTTATTCGAAACATTCCCTCGCAAACAGATGTGATTCCAAGATGACATTTCGACCCGTATCAATATCAACCTGAAAAATGAACAGAATTGACAGGAGAGAGGATCACCTTGCTTGAGACCTTTTGGCTGCAGAAATTAAGTTGAACAGTAAAGCCCGACATACATTGTCCATGTTGACTTCGAGAAATCCAGCTTGATCAAGCACCTCCTGTTTTAAATTTGTTGCATTAGTGAATAATTCAATGATCAAATAGGCCCAATAGCTAGGCTTAACTTCCTTAATCCTTAGTTATTACTTAACAGGGACCAAAGCAATTAAGGACTGATTCACTTTATAAAAGAAGTTTTTCCTCTACCAAAATCATCAAATAACCTCACAAAGCCCAATGTTTCTGAAAGAATAAAACAAAAATCCATTTAAGTGAAAGAGTTCATGACAAATACAAATACTAACATCTCAATATTTGATTCCAAGTATATACTGAAACATGAGCAGAACAAAGTTAAAAAATGGTTCCCCAAAAGAGGAGGTGGGGGCGCAAAAACTTAGTTCGAGATGTAAACTTCAGGAAATAAAAGACTGAGGCCAAATCCTGGCCTAAAAAGTTTATCACAACCCACAACATACTAGAGCCCACCTCAGATTGTAGTTTTGCTCACATTCATGAATGAAAGAATATTTCAATATTTCCAAATCTTTATGTTGGGAATTTTAGTCTCCCCGCCTACTACGATTTGCGCAACTTGGGAGCCAACCACAATCAACAAAATATAAAACCACAATCAAGAAGAAATAATACTGAGATTTACGTGATTCGGTCGAGCAACTTCGACCTACGTCCACGGGCAACAATAGGAGAAATCCACTATATATCAGGGAGAACTACAAGAGGAGTCACTCAACTCTCGTCTCTCAATCTCTCAACCTCACATACATAATCAACTCTTATATTATCTCCAAAGTCCTCTCCTTACAATCTTTTGAGCAGACAAAGATTGTGAAACCCTCTCCCAATGATGTAATCTTTTACACGGACAAAAACTACGAAACTCTCACCTCTCGCACAATATTTTTGAATCAAGTTACGCTCTCTGCTAGTCCCAGATTACAAGAATATTGGCTCTCTCTTTTGCTTGGTTTTTCCTCCAACAATAGAAGAATATATATAGAAAAATCAAAACTCTATTTCTAGTCTAACTTTCTAATTAGAATAGGATTCAAACTCCTAATCATGATGAGACTCAATCTCCTAATCATGATAGATCTCTAATCCTATCTAATTCTCATGAAGTTATATAAAGAATCAAAGACAGAATCCTAACAACTCCACATTGAATTTGATGCCTAAACTCCCTTGAAGATATATCATCGTCGTCTTGAAACTTTATCTCTCCTGCTAGAATCTTCTATTTTTTTTGCACTTCAAATCGAAGCACATGCACGGATGTCCCTATGACCCTCACTTTCATATGTCTTGCTGTGGCGCCTCCACCTCTCTTGTGCGCACCAAGAGATCTTCGCCACCTCTGATATTAGAAGCAAATCAACTATGCTTCTCCTCCCAAGCTGAATTTGACAGTAGCCTTCCCCCACTTGTTGTCCTCGTACTCTAACTGCATTGCTCTTCTCGAACTATATCGGTGCACCTCTTCTACTTCACACTACGAGTCGAATACCTCTATTTCCCCCCATCACTTGGCTTGGATCGAATATGAGTGCTCATCGTCTTCAAGTACAATGTCACCATCTCCATCAGTATATGTGTCACTCAGTCGTGTCTGCTTGCAAGCTCTACCTAATCTAACACTGTCCTCCTCGAGTCTACACACCAACTAACTACTCCTCCTGTAATGTCTTTGAATAATTATATGCTGACAACTCTACTGCTAGAATCACATCTGATTCTCTACATCAGTCTTATCTGTCGCATACTCGTTTGCCCTATCTTCCATTAGATCTATTGCGTTATCACCATTAGAACTTTTCAGCATTTTCTGACCAATCTGAGCAAAATCTGAAAAATCAAACCCTCTCATCGCGTTCAGAACACTCCAAAACCTAGGAATCAACTCGTGGATCGCCGAAATCTACCTCCCAACCCTCAACCAGAAGACAAATTAATCTTCTTTATTTTTTCTTCTTCTTTTTCTTCATCTTAATTCTTGTAACACAACCGATCTTCACTTGTGTATGACGTCTATCTTGTGAACTTTCTCCCGAATCCATCACTATCGCTCTGATACCACTCATTGGGAATTTTAGTCTCCTCACCTACTACAATTTGCGCAACTTAGAATCCAACCCACAATTAACAAGATATAAAACAACCACAATCAAGAAGAAAGAACATCGAGATTTACGTGATTCAGTCGACCAACTTCGACCTACGTACACGAGCAATAATACGAGAAATTCACTATGTATCATAAAGAACTACAAGAGGAACCACTCAACTCTCATCTCTTAATCTCTCAACCTCACATACATAATCAACTTTTATATTATCTCCAAAGTCTTCTCCTTACAATCTTTTGAACAGACAAAGATTATGAAACCCTCTCCCAATGATGTAATCTTTTATACGGAAAAAGACTACGAAACCCTCGTCTCTCGCACAATATTCTTGAATCAGGTTACGCCCTCTGCTAGCCCTAGATTACAAGAATATTGACTCTCTCTCTTCTGCTTGGTTTTTTCTCCAACAATAGAAGAATATATATAGGAAAACCAAAACTCTATCTCTAACCTAACTTCCTAATTAGAATAAGATTCAAACTTCTAACCATGATGAGACTCAATCTTCTAATCATGATAGATATCTAACCCTATCTAATTTTCATAAAATTATACAAAGAATCAAAGGTACAATACCAACACTTAAAACATCCTTTTGATACAACAAATATAAATTCTTTTCCCATCAATTTTTGTATATATTAGTTATTCTTTACTATTAATAAACTACAGAAAATAATTATTTCCACCAACCAATAAACATGATGGGGTCAATTGATGGATGATTAAAGATGTTCATTGATCTAATTCAATGAAATATATAATCAAAAGATATTTGTGCTTTGAGCATTTCAATTTCATTTATCTACTAGTTGCAAATGAAGGAAACGACCACTTAACCAATACTGAGTTTTCAAATGGAGAAAATCATCATATCTTTACTCCCAAAAATCTGAACTTTTGAAGGAATTTGCATAATATATAGATAAACCTTACAACTCAAAAGCGGGAATTTTGCTACAATGCATCTACTACAATTTTGATGGTTATCTTTTTGATGCCAAACATTAGCCGCAACTCCCTCCTATAATTGTCTAGGTAGTTAAGTTCAGGTATCATCAACCCACTGCCTCAAACTCTTATAGTTATTTTCAGCCATTTCGTTAATGAATGGAAGCCTTTCAATGGCAGTTAACATGCACATGCTTTTCTTAGAATGTGGGGTTGGGTATCTATTCAGTTGGATGGTTAACAAGACAAGTTTTCTCTCTTTCAAACCTTTAAAAAGTAATTCATATTCTCTGTCTTCTTCTTTCATTTCCAAAGATGATTCACACTTGTAAAATGATTTCAAAAGGTTTGAGTTTGAATCCAGTGAGATCGTTTATAAGAAATAACCACAACAACACAATTCCGTTTTCATGGGAAAAACCCGAAATTGGTTGCATCAAGTTAAACTTCGACGGCGCATCAAAAGTTGGTAGCAGCAATGCAAGCATCGGAGGTGTTTATCGAAACCACGAGGGAGAATTTTTGCTTGGGTACGCTGAGCGCATTGGAAAAGCTACGAGCTCTGTTGCAGAATTTGTTGCGGCCAAACGTGGGCTTGAATTAGCATTGGAAAATCAATGGTTGAATATTTGGCTAGAAGGAGATGCAAAGAATGTGGTGGATTTTGTATTAAAGGGATTGAGGTTGAAATCAAAAGATGATATTAGGCATGCTAGAGAGATCAGAATTTTGATTCCTCAATTGGATGCGCTTAATGTGTCTCATATTTATAGACAAGGGAATAAAGTTGCTCATGGGTTTGCTAAAATGGGGTATAGGTACAAAATGAATAAGCCTAGAATATGGAGAGATGTGCCCCCTGACGAAGTTTCAAGGTTTCTTCAACAAGATGCAGAGGGACGAGTTTTTCGTCGTAAACGATAAAACTTTCAAGAGAAGTGGTTGAATTGTAGGCGCACGATATCAAATGTTTCTGTTAATGATTTCATGTAAATAGAAATGATTCTTGTATTTGTCGACATTTTTATCGTTCTGAGCATAGATGTGTTGCTCCGGTCATCTGTATATAGTTATTGAAATTCAATTCAATTCAATCACAATACAAATCAGAAATGACCTCAAAATAAGAAAAAATCATATCCAAACCTCTATACTGACCAATGTGGATGTTTGTATATCTTTCGAGACTTTACCTTTTTGCATATGTAAATAACAGTCTCTCAAGATGTCCTATCGCTATAATATCATTGGAATTATTTCTTAGATATCCCGGTAGGTCCCTCCTTTGCCAAGAACCTGGTAACAGTTTATTGAATAGCAAGAAAACACATTTAAGCCGCAGAAGAAACGATACCTCAAAAAGAAATCAAATTCCTCATAAGAAATGGCAATGCGCCTGAAGATAAATTAACCGTTAGTTTTACCAAACGCAAATCACTGGATAACAATCTCATGCATGAGATGCACATTACTGGTTGGAAACTATCAGAAAATATCATGAACAAAGGTGACTTATAAAGTAAGACTTGGCAATTTTAAAACTCTATAAAATCCAAAAAACTACTGGTTACTGACCTTTGGCCAACTTTGCGCCATCGATGTAGAATCCAACAAACCTCCAGCCTCATGTCTCCGTGTTTATCGTACACATCGATTATCGAATTCCAAGAAAACACGTCAAGATTCCCAAAGTACAACTTGCACCAACTTATACTGCTCCAAATGCTTCCTCCAATTAACCACAACTCACAGACCAAGAGAACAACATGCTCCCACAAACCACATTTCTCTTTGCCATTTCGTCAAACATCTTATATGCACTGTCAAAATCCAAAGATTGAAGGCACCCTTCCATCGTAGATTGTAAAAGTGATGGAGCAGAATTTGGAATGAGAGAGGATTTGGGAAGAGAGGGGGTTTGATAGTGGGCCTGGAACTGGGCCGGGTATGGTGGAGATGGGCCGGATTGTTACAGTAGGGGGGGGAGAGAGAGAGAGAGAGGCGAGGAGCTCAGGGCCTGTGATATAGACAATTGTTTAGCCGTTAAAAGAGAATGGAGGGGGGAAAGTTATTTTATTAACTTAAATTTGATTATTTTAATTAATAGTTTTTAGAAGAATGTTGTTAATAATTTAACTCACGGTCCGGGAACCGAGATCTTCTTTTATTTTACTTGTTGTATTTTACTCCCCTCCACTAATTTCAATTAATATCAATGGATTTGGGTCAATATCCAGAATTCAAACTCTCTTAAATTCAAACAATAAAATTAGATCAAGTACAATATTCAAAATGAAATACTGGTTATCAAACATACCTACCGTAAGTAATAGCTTCATTGGTTGCTGGAATGATAAATGGCAATTGAACATTTTTATTATTGTTTTTTCTGAATGACTATTTTATTTATTATCAAACATTTTTCAGACTTTTTCCATCTTCTCTTCATCGACCTAATAAATTTATTAATTGTCACATTAATATGTCTGATTACTTTCTTATCACGTAAAAGAGATGCATAGGATTTGTACTAAAGTTAGCGTTAAATTTCTTTCATGAATCATAATGAGAAATCAGTAGCATCCGTCTGCTAAGAAAAGAACAAGGTAGTGGACACTAAGGGCTTGTTTGGATTTGTAGGGGGTGAAGAAAAGTTAAGAGAAACTGAGTAAAGGGAAGGGAAGGGAAGGGAATTCCCTTCCCTGGTTACACCCCAATTTGGGGGGTAACAAATTTTATACTATTACGCCTCGTTTGGTACGCGGGAATGGACAGACTTGGGAATGGAATGGAAGAATGAATGGAATGGATTGCATGTGGGAATGAAATGATCATTCTCATTCTCTTGTTTGGGTGCGTTCGTAGAATGAAGCTAGAATGGAAATCTCATTCCCATTCCCATGTTTGGTATCATTAGTACACAAGTGAGAATGAAATCTTATTTTCTAATAATGCCCTTACAATAACATAGATTTTTAATAAGATAAAAAATAAACATTAATGATAATAACTAAATAATTTTATATACGCATATGTTATATTAATCTAGGTATGTGTTATACTAATGCTCGTGTTATCCATCAGGTGTATGTTTCGTTTTTATTTTTTAAACAATACTCGCTATTTCTTAGTCTTAAAAATTAAAGGAAAAAAAAAGATTATCATATCTTTCATAGGTCCAAAAAAAAAGAATGATATCCACAATCCACAGTTCTAGATATATAAATTAACTTATTTGATTAAGTATCAAAATCACTCAATTCATAATAGCAAAAATCCATAAAACAATACCAACTAAAATAATAAGTTTCGAAATAGCAAAATGATATACTAGCCTAAATTGTCAATCTAAAATTGCCCACTTGCATAGCGCCTCACCCAAACATTCTTTATTATTAATATGGATATAATTGAAAAATACCTAACTAGTTTTTGACTCTCACTTGAATGGGAATGACCATTCCTTATCTTCTCACTTGGAATGCTCATTCCCACAAATAGTGGGAATGATCATTCCTAGGGAATGGTCATTCCAACATCTAAAATATAGGTGTGTTTGGTATGAGGGAATGAGAAGTGGGAATTACATTTCATTCCTCCTCATTCCCGCGTACCAAACGAGACGTTAGGGGGTGAACCAAGGGGAATCAGGGTGAATTAACTTCACCTCCTAAGTATTCCCAAACAAGGTGAATAGAGGTGAATGGTTCCCCTAACTTCTCTTCACCCTCATTCCCCTCAATCCAAACAAGGTGTTACTGTACGCTTCAAGTTCATTGCACAGACAAAATGTGTGCAATTATCACGCTTTAGGATTAAGGGCCTAAACCAGTGTTTGTTACACACTAGTTGTTACCCGTGCAGTGCACGGGGTTAAATTAGTATTTTTGGAAAGAGAGAACAAAATAAATGATTTAGAGAAAATTGAAAGACAACGACTAGGGATTTTCAACATGTAGAGGGTAGTGAATTAAAATGAGATGGTTAAAAAAAGAATTATTAATTACTAAATGTTAGAGCTCTTGGAATTTGCCAAGTGGCGAAAATATGCAAACAGGTTTTTACTTTTATTAGTTGAGTATAGTATGTTGATTGATTGGTTCAAGAAAGGGATAAAAGAGTAATCTTAATTAACTTTTTTTGTACTTTAAAAAGTAATTTAGTTAAGTGATTAGAAAGGACTTAATTGAATGAAACCTAGATTATGGAAAAAAATTTGAGTAAATTTTACAAATTAGTCTTTTAAGTAAAACTATTGAAACCATGTTCAATTCTTACTTGCGGTCCAATTCCTTTGAGCTTGAGGTTGAGGTTGAGATGACACGATAGAGCTTTCCCTAATCTGAAGATGATTATGTTTTGAAGATGAGATTAAAAAGAAAATCTTTTGGATATAAATCTAAATTTTAAATAGAGGAGAGAGAAAAGCATATGATAATCGTATGATTTCTGTCATGTTATTTATTCATTGTCACGTCATTTTTAGATTGGTTCAAATTCGTCAAAGACGAAAAAATAAGCCTAACGAAGATCGAATGTTAGGTTTTAATATCAAAATATAGCCAAGTTGGAAGAAAACAACAAAGTGATAAAACATAATGTTAAAAAACATTAATTTGATAATTTAGCCGATTAGGAAGCATGAATTATTAATTCAATTTCTATGGGAGATAATGAGATGCAAAAGCAGCCCCTTCCTAAAAATTCCAATTTCATATACAAGTGGGGCCAACAGTGGGATTTTGACATTTTGGTTTGGGCTCTCGTGCTTCATGAGTGCAAATACAGAAATCTCAGATCCCAAGATATTTTGTGCCGCCTCAGTGCGTGTTTGTCCTTGCATTTTCTCTATTTACATTTGTGGTACTTTTGATTTTTGGATTGTTTTGCAAAAATGTTGCTCCACACTGTAACCTCGGTAGAATCAGGTCAGCATTAGATAATAAAGGGATAAACTTGAGACATGAAATATTCGAGATATAAAATTGCACAGCACAAAAAAAAAGGAAAAAAGTATTAGGGCATCTCCAACAGCTTCTCCAAAACTTTCTTCAAAATGGGGAAGCAAAAGTCAAATTCTCCAACTAATTTTTACACCAACTCCAACAGCTTCCCCATTTTGAAGAATCCATTTTTTCCTCCAAAAATTTGGAGAATGCTGCAGATTTGGGGAAGCTTCCTCATTTTTTCTCCTCCATCCTTATTTTGGGGAATGAGATGGGGAATCTGTTGGGCCAAAAACCTAACTAAAAGCTGTTGGAGATGCTCTTATAGCTAAAAATATAATAATAATAATAATATAAAAAAGATACATGTTTTGTTAACAAGAAAAACTCGTTAAACAAAAGAGAGATCTAAAAAAAAGAGAACTAATACTCATTGTCCCTCAACTCTCCCCATCTGTCTCTCTCCTGCTTAACAGTGTGTTTGGCAGATGACTTAGGGAATGGAAGGAAGGGGAAAAGTTTACCTTCCTTCCCTTCCCCTTCATTACACTCACCCAGTCACCCTAATTTGGGGTGTAAGATATTGACTCAAATTTCTCCCCCATATTCCCCTCCTCTATCTTTGTAAACGGAACTCCCAAACAAGGTTAAAATTAAATTTCACTTCCATTCCCCCTTTCTACCTTCCATCCAAACAAGCTATAAAAATCATTTCAAGAACACTCATGTTTATTAATTCCAAGCATTAATAGCTTTCTTGAGTGGAATTTGGATATCAACCTCTTTGCACAATGCAAAATAGATTGCATCCTCACGTTGCCCCCTATGGATTTTAGAGTATAAACAAATATTTTGTGTCACAACATTTTGACGAGGATAATTGCATATAACCCCCTCCTTCTATTAAGGGGGTTATGTGCAATTTAGACTAGAGGAAGAAAGGGTCAAAAGGAGCAGCTTTTGTTTTGTTTTTCCCTCCTCAGTGACTGCTGGCCTTTCGGATTCTGGATTCAATTCGGGAGAAAGAATCGCTTCCCAAACCTCTCTCTGCGTCGATCCTCATCCTCGTCACCGGTAAGCTTCTCCAATTTTCAAAAAAAATTTTCCCCAAGGGTTTCGTTCGTCGTTTTCTATAGCTCGCTTCCAAAATTTTCATTTTTTTCCCAAAAAAAAAATAATAAATAAAATCGATAAAATGGAGAAGAAAGGGAGCGGATACGCTCGCCTATTGTGGAATCGGTTGAGGAATTCCGTGAGATCTTGCCGCGTTAAGCTTCGCGATGTGAAATCTTACAGATATCGCGCTCTTGGATCCTTTCATAGCTCCAAAATGTGAGTTTTTTTTTTTAAATTCAATCAGATTCTGTGGATTAGATCGGTGTTCAGTGGAAATCTTGGTGTTTTGAGCTGGGGATGGGGATGAAGTAGGAATCTTGATTGTTATGTAGACAATTTGATCTCAATGAGTCGATCTTTTCCATGCGTGAACTTTGTGATTGGTGCTGTAATTTTGACACACACCGAAAAAAATCTAAAATAATGCATATGAGACGTGCTCAGCGTGCAAGTTCGTGCTTTGTATTGCTGTTATTGCTGAGGAATTTTTGATGTGGGAGCGAGAGAGCTCAACTTGAATCGTTTCATTAAGAGCTTGGAATGGAATAAAATGTCTGCGCATGTATTGCCTGACACGGGGTTGGCTTCGGGTGTCTGATAGCAGATTGGGCAGCTCGTAGGGTTTTGATGGAGCTGCTATTACGTCGTCGACTTTCTGATATGTTGAAGCATTTCACCTCTCAAAATATGTAGCTTGGATTTTGCTAACAAAGCAGAGGAAAAACCACTATCATCTATCTCACAGTTTCAGAATTTTATTGGTTTTGTAGTTCCTTTGGTCCTCAATGCTCCAATGTGGCGAAAGCTGATACCAGTTGTTATATAATTCATGTATTAGTTTTTATAATTTTGATAGACCATTATGTAGTAGGTGACATTCATTTTTCTTAAGCTTTGTTTCTTTTTATTTTGTCTTGTGCCACATTGTTCTGGGAAATAGCTTTAAGGATCAAGTTAAACTGTTAATATTGCTGAATTATACGGTGTAATTTCTGTAGGCCGAGTAGAGAGATGGGCAGCAACGTAGCTGAAACTGAGCAAATGTTAAAGGAGTTTTATATTCCAGATTATATACTAGTACCAAACTTGGAGATGGAGAAGCTTAGTTATGTACCCAAGTGCCCTGTCATAGTTTTCATCAATTCCAGAAGTGGTGGTCAGCTTGGAGGTAATTTGCTTGCAACATATCGCGAGCTACTCAACAAGGATCAGGTAGTTATCGATTGCTCAGAGTAAAAGCACATTCAAATTTCAAAGCTCCAAACAAAAAGATCAAACTTGAAGTGTCAAGATCTATGGACAGGAGAGTCACTGAAGCAGAGTAAGGCCTAGTTTGGCAACGGCATTTCTGAAACCAAGGCTTCATTTAAGTTCAATTGAAACCGTTGATTTGTATGCATATAAGCTGTAGTTTTGGAAACAGAATTTAACTTAATTGCAGACTTTGGTTCATCATGGTTTCAGAAAATTGCTCCGAGAGGGATTTTCCGAACCATGGTTTTCATTGACCCATGCTTAGAAAACCCTATCTTGGCTTGATTTCAAATTTGTAGTTTGGAGGAAAACTTAAGTGAAACCAGGTTGCCAAGCTAGGCCTTAGGTATTGGCATTGCTGGTCGTAGACAGTTTGGTGTATTAAACATTTTTTGTGACTGTTAGTTTTCTTATTTATGTTATGAGTTCCATGTTCTTCAGGTTTTTGACTTAGGAGAGGAGGCTCCTGACAAGGTGTTGCATGGGATTTACTCCAATTTGGAAAAGCTAAAGTCCATTGGTGACGATCTTGCCGCACAAGTTGAGAATAACTTGAGATTAATTGTGAGTCTTGGTGAAAGGCGGCACTAAAAACGATGCTATATTTCTGTCCTAGAAGATTTTTTTTCCAGTGTCGACTAGTTTTACTACTAAACTAAAGGTACTTGACTAGGTTGCTGGTGGTGATGGAACAGCAAGTTGGCTTCTTGGAGTGGTTTCTGACCTCAAATTGCCTCATCCACCTCCTATTGCTACAGTGCCTTTGGGAACTGGAAACAACCTTCCATATTCATTTGGCTGGGTAGGTCAATCGTTGTGTTTTTTTTCTTTATTTGACTTTTCCTTTCCTTGTATTTACATTTAAAATGTACCATGCAAAAATGAAACATCTTAGAAAAGAGGGGGCTCAAATCTATCATTTGTTCATGTCCTGACTCCTGTGTGTGGGTGCGGGCAGGCGGCCATGTACGGGCACGTGGCACATGAATGAGTGTGTTGTTCATGCATCCGTACATTTATGTCATATTGTGTGTGATTACATGTGCAATATTGTGTGTGATTTGCTTATATGTATGTAATATGTAACCTACATAGCAGACGTCTTTGGAAGTTGGAGCCTTCACGTTTATTCACTTGATCTTTGAGTCCTCGATATGAAGCCAAGGCTTGCCATGTTAGCCATCCTTAGCATATCATAGTTATATTTGGTAGAGTACATGGTCAATGATACATCACCAGTAAACATATAAAGGGTTTTTCCTTGGCTAATTGATCTTTTCCTATGTAATCCTCTCTATCAATCAATGACCATTTTTGAAGATCCTGACATATAGTTTGAAGTTTTAAAGACAATAATGAAGCCGAATGAATACTGATACAACTAGTGTTCTCTCTAGTGTATTTTTATGCACACAATTTTTTCTTCTTCATAAGATTGACTTTGACAGCGCATATTTTTATAAATTTCCTATAATAGATCATTGAGTACTTATGTTCATAAAAATGTTTACTTTGTGATATGCATTTAACTGTTCTGCAGGGAAAGAAGAATCCCGGTACAGATCGCCAGGCTGTGGAATCTTTTTTGCATCAAGTGCTGAAGGCAAGGGAGATGAAAATTGATAGGTACTTCAGATTTGTGGAATTATCTTCTTTTGTAGAACATCTTCACTTATCTGTGAATCATTTATCTTCTATCTCCTTTTTTTTTCAGGGAAAAGAGGGCCTTGGCCCATATTATTAGCAAACAGTTATCTTCTGTTTTCTTACTTGTCATTTCTCCTCATTCTTTCTTTTTTAATTATGTGTTGCTTTGTGAGCTGTAGCAATCCTGACTAATGAACCTGACACCTATCGACATTCTTGTAATTGTCAACGCCCCTTGGTCTCTCCTCTGAGCCTGTTATCCTGTACATTTGAGTGGTACTAGACTACGGTTTACAGATCTAGGCTTACCAAAGTTCACAATTAATTATTTTTTAAGCTACTGACTTGAATTTCTGAGAATTTATACATTTTATAAAGTCTTTCCCCCTATCTTTTTACATGTAACGTAACTAGGTGGCAAGAGGAGATTTACTACTTACCTGATGTAGCTTTTAAGGCACAGAATATATTGTTCACTTGAATTTTCTTCTTTAATTCAGCTGGCATATTATTATGAGGATGAGAGCTCCCAATGGAAGCACCTGTGATCCAATTGCGCCCCTTGAATTGCCACATTCTCTTCATGCATTTCATCGTGTCTCACATACGGACAAACTTAATGTGGTAAGGGAATCTGTTTTTTGAAATAGTTAGCTCTGCAGACACCAGCAGTAAAATCAGTACATACAGAACTTTTATTGGCAGATTAAGTTGCTGTCTTGTTATCATTTTCAAATTTGACTGACTCTTTGATGTTGATTTCTTCTTAGGAAGGTTATCATACGTTCCGTGGGGGATTTTGGAACTACTTCAGTATGGGTAAGGTTTTTCCTTTTAATTGAACAAGAATGTCTCTGGAGCTTACAATATAATCCTTTTAATTGAGCAAGAATGTCTCTGGAGCTTACAAGGTAAAAAAGAATGTGGCAATCCGGAAAGAATAATCCTGATTTCAAATTAATTTATTCAAAACCATAACCATCCTTTTCATGATATTCTAAGAGTTCCAGTGATAGCTGTTTTATTCTTTCTCATTAAGAAATATGCTTGCTGATATAATTTGGACACATCTATTTTCTTTAAAATTCAGTGATCTTTATATAGGCTTGTATGAGTGCCCATACTAAGAAGGAAAATGGGGCTCAATGTATTCAGCAACAACAAAGCCTTTATCCCAAAACTCTGGGGCTCTATGTGAATTCTGTTCCTCCCCTCAGTTAAGGGCTATTCAACTCCTTTAAGTGAAAAAGGGAGACATATATGAGGGAATTTGAGACTGAACTTATTTTTTGTTAGGTTATCTAAGATCGTGGGTTTGGCCTTAGGCTGCAATTGATTATCATATTACCATTGTCATCCCTCGACACAAGAAAAAACTTACTTTTATTTTTATTGCTGCTGTAGTGGCATTCTGCTTTGGTCTTGGTGCTTCTAACAGACTTCTCTACTGGAGAAAATCCTTAGTACATTGATTTTTCTTAACTAGATATATTCAATATCCATCGGGGAAGGCTTCTTTGCGGGAAGCCAACAGTCAAGGACAGAAGCACATTGAGAAAGAAGTAGCAAAAGATGGTTTTGATTATAAAATTTGCAAGTGAAATACGATTACTAAATAACTTATTAGATCCTCGATTTAATCTGCAATGTTCCTAAGGATTAAATAGCTTGCTAAGCAGATCTTCCTGTTATTTTATAATTGCTGAATAAATTGAGCAATGTGGGATATAGTATATTTTCTTTTTGGTGATTCAAGCATAACATCCATAAGGTAATTATATGCTTGCACATATATCATCTTAAAATCTATCCTCTTGGGCAATATTGATGTAAAAAAGAATATTTCTGGTAAATAGTATCCTGCTGACACTTATTCTGTAACTCTTTTCCAGCATAGGAAAGAATAAATCAAAATATTGTGTCTGTTGAGTGTGATTCCGTGTTCTGGCTTTTCCTATGCTGTAGGAATGGATGCTCAAGTATCATATGCGTTTCATTCGGAGCGGAAGCTCCATCCAGAAAAATTCAAGAACCAGTTAGTCAACCAGGTCATTTTTCCACTTTCAAATGGCTGATCATACTTCTGGTTTACAAAGTTTAAATGCAGTAATACCATTCTTTCAATGTAGACTACCTATGCTAAGCTTGGATGTACTCAAGGATGGTTTTGTGCATCTCTTCTTCATCCCTCTTCAAGGTAATATTGACATTAAATATTTGCATCAGTTCATAAAAACTGGCCTGATTGGCATTAAATGTTTGCATCAGTTTATAAAAATTGGCCTGCTGGCGATACCATATCCGTTTTCCAATCTACATTTACCGTGTTAAGTAAACCTTAGTAATTAAGGACAAGCCTCCTTTTTTTTTTGCATTTGGTTATAGAAGATTAATACATAACTTTCATAGACGAGATGCAAATGTTTAACTTTTTTAAACAATTCAACGTTAAATTACTTGAGAAAATGTGTTGTGGCAGCCCAAACGTGTCAACATGGCTTAAAATTCATTAATGAGAGATTTATCGAGCATCATACAGTAAAATCATGATCTCTGACTCTTTACTGTCTAAATGGGTTGATTTAGGAGCGTAACTCTAATTTTAGAAGGTTCCTTTAGAGATGGTCAGATTTTATGATATTTAGTCGATCTGCAGTAAATCGTTAGTCTTGGTACTAGCTTTCCTTACCAAGGCAACTACAGCATGAGGTCGGCAGTCGGCACTAAACCTTGAAAATCGGATGGCAGTTAGGAAAACGTAACTTTCTGGTTTGGTCATGCGGTTCAAGTTCGTAGACCAAAAGGAACAATCCTTCTACTTTCTTTATATCTATTATATAGGAACAAATGCTTTACTTCAAATGCAGGAATATAGCACAACTTGCAAAAGTTAAAATCCTAAAACGGCATGGCCATTGGGAAGATCTTCGCATTCCGTCCAGGTAGGCTAACACTTATGACTTTGTCTGCTACATTTCTCGGTATGGCATGATTTCCTTGATATGTATACTTATATTGATAAATCAATAGGGAGCATAGATTTTAATCTCATGTTTGTCTTATCTGTATCATTTTTATATATCATTCCTTTGGTATCTGTGATTATTTTTTAGTGATTTTTCCTTACATTTTTGCAAGGAACTGAGAGTATTCCGACCATGGCATTCTTCATTTCTGCGTAATTGTTTTCAATGCCCCTAGGAAAAGCCTACAAAAATGTGGTCTCCTTTCTGACAGTTTGATTTACTTCTCTCTACACCGATGGACTAGCAATTTCATCTGTGAAATGGCAATCCACATCAATGATTTTAAATATCTTCTTTCATCTGTGTCCCAAATCTGTTACTCAAACATTGACTAGCAATTTCTTGTGAGCTATCACCAAATAAATTATCCCAATAATCCATCAAAATTTGATATCTTAATTTATTTTCTTAATTAAATTATATGTTTTCCCCATCTTGTCTAGCAACATTGTTATTTCTGATGCACTTTAGTAAGTTGATTAAATGATAACTAAACTGCATGCAGACCCCTCCCGTACTATAGGTTCCTTCCTAAAACTGTTAAATGAAAAGACAAGTTATTGACATATCTGTTTTTTGAGAATCCTGAAAATACATTAAAAGTGTTATAACCTAATTGCTCGCAGACTTGCACACAAAGGGTGTTGATGAATCTCTTTTCTGTTGAATTCTGTTTACATAAGTCCAATTTGTATAAACTTTATCAATTGTTTTGTTTTATTTCTTCATTTGAGTCATTTCAATAAAACTAACATACTAAGTGTATAACTGATTTCCTAATGAGATAGCTGGATATTGTTATCTTGGTTATAATCAATGTGCAATACCTTTTACAGCATAAGGTCAATCATATGTCTGAACCTGCCTAGCTTTTCTGGAGGACTAAACCCTTGGGGAACTCCAAATCCAAGGAAAGCACGAGATGTGAGTTCAATAGTTTGCCAATTAAATATTTTCCATTCCACAAGTGGACTGTATACTTGATTGCGTTTCAAAATTTACGCATTCTTTCTAATATTTGAGTTCTGATATACCATAGAGAGACTTGACCCCACCATACGTAGATGACGGCCTTATTGAGATTGTTGGGTTCCGAGATGCTTGGCATGGACTCGTTTTGCTTGCTCCCAAAGGACATGGCACTCGCCTTGCACAGGTGAGGAGCTTACATACATCAATATGTTCATGTATACATCTGTTATAGAGAGCATGTTGGACCTCTGCCCTTTATAGGGGCTGTTTCGCATTCAGGAAGTAAATGAAAACTAGAAAGCGAGAAAAAGTACTTCGTTTAGAAATCACTTTCTCTTCCATCTTTTATTTACAAATCTTGTTTTCGACACTAGAAAGTGCAAAGGTGAGAAGTTGAGATGATAACTTATGTGGCGTTTGCTTATTATTTATGTCATGTTTGATTGTCGTGAGAAGTAAAGACTAGAAACTATATAAGTGAAACGATAAACAAAAAGAATAAAATAATAATTTCTCTTGCCTTATTCACTTCTCACCCGCTTTCTCCAAATTTTAGAGTAAAGGGCTACAAAATGCTGATTTAGGAAAGAAAGTCACTTTCTCATTTTTAGTTCTTTCCGTTTACTTTGCAGTTGCCAAAGAGACCCTTTAAGTTCGCATGTTGTATTCAACAAAGCAAAACTAAATTGTTTTGTTATCAAATGGTTTTGTTATTAATGTTACATTTTATCTCCATGAAAGAATTCACTAATTTGAAGAGCATTGACAATTAACACAGATAGATCATTCCTAAAATTCACTTCATTCAATATCTACCCATTCTTCTACATTCAGGGTCGTAAAGTTCGCTTCGAGTTCCACAAGGGAGCAGCAGACTGCACATACATGAGAATCGACGGAGAGCCATGGAAGCAGCCTCTGCCTGAAAACGATGACACCGTAATGGTGGAAATCTCCCACCTCGGCCAAGTGAACATGCTTGCGGCTCAGCACTGCATCGCTAAGAGTGTCCATGATCCATCGACTCCTTCAGCTGCCAATAGTCAACATGACGATGAAGACAGCTGGGGTGAGGACTCAGATGAGGAGTTGGAGGAGAGGAGGAAGTTTGGGGCTGCTGATACTTTCAGACTTCCTGAGGACGTTGACATTGCTCATCTCAGTTGAATGAGTTTATAGATTGTGCTGACTCTATTGAGATTGTTATTTTGAATTGCTGTTGTCTTTTTTTTTTTTGTTTTTTTTTTTTTTTTTGAAAATTGTTGCTGTAACTTCAGCGCTATGAATATTTTGTTTTTTTTCCCTCTTTCACATTCATGTGGTGGTGGTTGTTTAGACTGGAAAATGTATAAATGAGAAAGCAAGCTCTATCATAACTTCAAAATCTTTTGTATAGTATTTCCCCCCATTAATGTAGGTAAATGTTTTTATTGCTGTGTTTATTGTCGTTGATGATATCGACTCTGTAAATAAATGTTTTAAATCAACAGAAAACTGAGCTATATTTCTATCTCTATGTTAGCAGTGGTGAAAAAAGTTCAGGATATTACCGGGATGCAAAATTTAGGTCATACAGCGTGAAATGAAAGGGTCCAACTATTCACACTTCCAAACAGTAACTTTGGGGGTGTGTGAGGACTAAATTGCCCTTCTGTCAAACTAAACCCCCTCAACATCAAAAGGGCATTTTCGGTAATCCAACTCCCAAAATTACTGTTTGAGAGTGGATATAGCAAACATGGAAGAGGAGCACTAGGGGCACACCTTGGGACACACTCCCAACCACACCCCTCACCTGCTACAGTGCAGGGGGGTCCCACTTGAGATTTTTTAAAAAATCTCAAGTGGGACCCCCCTGCACTATAGCAGGTGAGGGGTGTGGTTAGGAGTGTGTCCCAAGGTGTGCCCCTAGTGTTTTTTAACATGGAAATAAGGGGGGTTTGGTTCCCTAGTTTTATGGAAAACTATAGGGAAATTGACTGACATTAGCAAATATGTAAATAACTTAACTTTTTCCACTATTTCTAAAAACTGTGTTTGGTTTCAAAAAAAAATTATAAAAAAGTTTTCTATAAAATAGAAAAAAAAGTAACATTTTACAAAAATCAATTTCAGCTCAAATTCAGCTGAAATTGGAGAGGGAAATTTTTTAGGGCAACCCTCAATCCCACCTCGTTCGCGCTTCTTCTTCGCAGGTAATAATTACTAAAAAAAGATTACAGTACATAGATCTCCAATTTAAAGACTAACCATATGGAAAAAGTCAATAGATCTCCAATTTAAAGACTAACCACATGGAAAAAGTCAAACCAGCTACGACGCAAAAATATTTTGATTTTGGAGCATTGACACAATCTTCCCTTCATTTTTCTACAACTTACAGAAATTGAACCAAACACCCCCTAAGGATCCATATCATTTGGTCCCTACTTGATCCTGTTCTCATAAAAAAAAAAATTTCGGTACATGAATAATTCCCATACATTCTACTAAAAACCTCGCGTAGCCTGATCAGCATTCACCAGACCCCAAGCATCACATGCGTGCAAATGCTCGAGAAACTCGATCAGGGGAACTCTCAACCCTTTCAACAAGCATCCGTGCAAATGCTCGAGAAGATGAAGCCGACCAAACTTTGATCCAACCACGCAAAATTAATAACGCATCAGTTTAGTTTAATTAGGGCCCCAGCAGACGAGGTGGTGGACCGCCTCGTCCTTCTCAGCCTTCCTCCTCCTCCTCCTCGCCGCCATCTCGTCCAGGCCCGACCCGGGCGCCGCACCCGGGCGCGAACCCTGCTCGCCGGAGCTGCCGAGCTCCGGCGCCAGCACGACCACTGCGCCCTGGCCTTCGGCGCCTGCTGAAGGGCTCTCAGCGCGTAGTTCACTGCCCGCCTGGTCCTTGAGGGCCTCCACCGCGGCCACGCTCGCCGCCACGGCCCACGACGCTTTGCTTAACGGGCCCATGCTAGCTGCTGGAAGAGTTTGAGAGAATTAACGAGGATATCTTTTTTTTCTTAATTTGATTTCTCGAGTTGGGGAGTATTTATAGAGGGATCCGAGGGGAAAACTGGGGGCTGAGGTTGCTGATGGTTTCGGGCTTTTTTTTTTTTCCCGACGTTTGTTGGGCGGCTGGTGTTGCCAGGAATCTGGATGCCGTTGGTTGTTTTCCTTCAGATACGTGGGGCCCGTTTGTTTGACTGCTGGAAAGCTTGTTTCCTCGTTTGTTTTCCAGCCGATTGCTGGGAATCTTTTTCTAGTAATTTTCACTAGCTCGCTTCGCAAGAAAAAAAAGGGATGGTCAAGCGGTGGAACTCCCTTTTTATTAATAACTAGTTTTTACACACGTGTAATGCACGTGTTTTAATACCATGATTAAGTATTTTTGACAGTTTGTGCTCATTTTTTTCTTTAAACTCTTACATCCCGATTATTTTTTTATGTTTGTTTAAATGGGATACACCCAATTTAAATTTTCATGTTGATATTTGAATTGACAAAAAACAAATATAATTTAAAAATAATTTGAATTTTTATATTATTTTTGGCCGATATGAAACTAAGTTTTATTTGAGAAAGTATAGCATTGCAAAGTGAAAAATATTAAAATAGTGTTATACAAGGAAGGTGAATATTTAAAACCAATATGGCAAAATGATTGATTTAAAGTATGTTAAAACGATGCAAAAGAGAATATGAAGTTTATTCCTAATCATTGATAGACTTCATAAAAAATATAAATTAAAGATTTAATGCTAACTCTAGTATACTTTTATATGATAAAAACATCCACATAAGAATATAAAAGTACTGAAAAAAATTCATGAAACTCCCTTCTAAAGATTCCTAATTTCACTCAAAATAATTAAACTATTCTATAAAATATTCATAAAATATTGTTTTTATTTCTTCTATTTTATTTTTTATTGAGTTAAGATCAATCCTTCTTCAGGTTTATCATTTATCATTTCTCGGACAATTCTAGAGTATTGTCTTCATCATCTTCTAAAATGAATTCTTTTGATGTGCATCCAATAATAATTTCTGTTATTTCAATAATATTACCTTTGCTCTATCCCTGTCATTTTTCATAAAGATCTAAACTAAATACCTGCATTATTCATTACCAATTTCTCTTAGATTATAATATTAATATTTAATTTGAAGAACACAGTATGGAATTTATGAATACTTACTAATTTCTCTTATGTCTTCCATGGAGATTTTTTCTTTGATTATGATAAAGTTATTAAATTATTTTTTAATGTAACTCATTCAGTGCTTCATTAATAGATATGTCTTAAGTTAATGCCAATTCAAGTGATTCATTGACGTTTTCTGAATTTTAGATTTATTTCCATCACTTTCCCATTTGCAATGGAAGTAACTCAATTCTTTTAAAGTTATCTCTAAATATTCTAATAGTTTCTCCATATGTAATTCCTTGTATTCTTTTACCCTATAAATATTATTAACGTCAAAGATTAAAGTTTCTAAATTAAAATCAATTAATGCTAAGGTATAATATTATAGTGTTTTATCATTTCTATGGATTTAAACATCTATCAATTAATGTTACGAATGTATTTTGGCTACCCCAACTTATTACTAAAATTATATGAAATTACTTTAATTTATATAGTGCCGATAATTTTTAATCTATAATATTTTTAAAAAATTTATCCATTAACTGGATGTTTTTAATCAATTCTTATTGTTTTTTTACCAGTATCAACTTAGACTATTCTTAGATGCTGAAAATGGATAGTAAATCCCTAAATTAGAAATTTTAATATATATATATATATGAAAAATACCAAACAATTATACTTTTATTTGCCAAGTTTTAAAATTTTAGCCCATTTTTGTGGTTTTGAACTTTGAGGGTGTGATTTATAATTTTTAAAATTTTGAAAGAGTTTTTAAAAAAAATTTGATATTAGTTTGTTAAAATATATAAAATATTAAATTTCAGCGGTCTACCAATCGACGAATTTGATGTGTGCTAGTTAAAATTTTTGAAAATTTAGAGTTTTTTTTATGATTTTTAAAATTTTAAGGAGTTTTTTAAAAATTTTGAGGTTAATTTTGGCAAATTTTAATTTTTTAGGTGTCTAAGGGTAATATCTTAAATTCATCTTATTTTATTTACAAATTTTAGAATTTTAGGGTGGCTTTTTATAATTTGAACTTTTGAAGGTGTTTCTATAACTTTTGAATGTGTTTCTATAATTTTTGAGATATTGAGGGTGTTAATTAAAAAATTTAAATTTAAATGTCAAAAATTTTAGGTGTATCATGGTAATCTCTTGAATTCATCTGTGTTGTTTGTAAGTTTTAAAATTTTAGAATTTTAATGTGCTTGTCTGTAATTTAAACTTTTGAGGGTGTTTCTATAATTTTTGAGACATTGAGGTGTTAACTGTAAATTTTAAATTCTTTGCAAACTGATGTTAATTTTTTAATTTCATGTTTTTTATTTTAAGTTTTGAGACATTTGGATGAGTTTTATAATTTTGAACTTTTTAGGGTCTTTTCTGCAATTTAAAACTATTTATGGTTTTTTTTAAAATACTTCATGTATTATAATATGTTATCTACTTGTAATTTCTTTATCTTAACAAACTAATATTATTTTTATGTTTTATATATTTTATTAATATCAGTTTTTTTAAATTGTTAAGCTAAACATGGTTCACATAGGATTAGGATAAGATATGATTATGATTAGGATAGATTAAGATATAAATAAAATATTCAAAATAGTGAAGGGTAATATTGACCATTGAAAATTAGAATTTGATTATAGATAAGGTAGTTCAAACTATAAAGGGGTATATTTGTCTAAAAAAGATTTTCCGAACTCGTGCTTTTAAAGGGAGTATGATGGGTGTTGTTACCGGGACCCAAATAAGGGGCTCACTCAAGGCATGGGACGGATGAGGTGTCACCATCCGGTTGCATGATGTCATGTTCATGAACAATGCATCATTTAACCGGATGGTGACACCTCACCCGTCTCATGCCTTGAGGTTCCCTATTTGGGTCCCTGAGGCATAAATGATTATTAATCTCTCTCACCTAAATCTTTTCTAATGTTTATTATTATGAATAGAATATCATCTTTTTCGACCCAATTTTCCTAAGAAGGGCACTAGGGGCACACCCTCTACCACACTCCTAACCATACGACCTCTCTTACTATAGTGTACGAGGTCGACATGAGATTCTAATTTTTAAAATCTCATGTGGGCCTCGTGCACTGTAGCAAGAGAGGTGGTATGGTTGAGAATGTGATAGAGGGTATGCCCCTATCATTATTTTTCTCCTAAGGAAGCTCTCAATTGGGTGTTCTTTAGAAATTGGCATGGTAGGTACGGGGACCTAGGAAAGTGTTTCTATTTTTTTACTTC